TAGGGTTAGGGTTAGGGTTAGGGTTAGGGTTAGGGTTAGGGCTGTCTCTTATACACATAATAATTAATAAAAATTCTCAGAATATTTAATATTTTTCAAATGACTTAAATGACAGGTCATTTGAGTTGCAAATGACAAATGACAAATGACTTGTCATTTGAGTCATTTGTTCATTTCAAGTCATTTACCGAACACTGACATAAATTACTCCTAGCTTTTGCACAAGAACTTAAGTTACACATAATTTCGATTGGCTCTGATGGTGCACAAGTTGAATTTAATGCGCAAACCCAAGTTCAACAAATATCAACTCCCAGTAGACTTAGAATAAGTTACGCACCATACAATATTGATTTTAATTGTCCAATTTTTCCAAATGTCAGACCAGTAATACGAATCCAGGATCCCAAACATGCAAAGAAAATGGGACATAATGCAGCAATGTCAGGTGCACGGGTTCTTACACTTAATCGTTCTACTGTGGGATTTGGACATTTTGCGAAATTGCTCATTCACTCTGAAAGTCCTATGTATAAAAGTGACATATATAAACTTGATCGACAAGACGATGGCGCTGCTTATCAAATTTTCTGTCCTAAAAATCTGATGTGTTGTCTCGATTCTAATAATGAAATTAAACCTGAATTTGAAGGAACATTTATATATTTATTTATAATTGGTAAATATTCAAACATTTTATGATAAAATGATGAATTGAAATTAATTACCTTTTATTGATGATGTAGGCGAATTAGTTGACAGTTATTTGAATCGAAATATTACCCCTATTGAACGAATAAGAATGGTGATGATATCCTATTTTTTTTTACAAATTTGGCGATTCCATATAAACACATTAGCATGAAAATACCCTGAATTTATTTCTATCAACCAAAACTTTATTGCACTTCAAACATTTGCAATACTTACTTCACTAGCTGAATCAATGGTTTTACTTGTAAAAGCTCATAGAGATTTCTATAATCAATATCCTCTTGTTCCTTAGATACATAGTTTGGAAATGTGTGACAGTGTGAGCATTTTTTTGATGCAGCACGACAGATTAATGTTGATTTTGACTTCACAGAGTTGTTAGAAATGGTACTGAAAATAGGTCACTATACAAAAGCATTAAACTCAAAGGAAATATCTTTTAATAAAGATAAATCTGTGTGTGAAGGTGAAGGAAACACTTTTTTATATGTGTTATAATATATATCAGTATATATAAAATTAATTTATTCAACTTATTTTAGGGTACCAATTCGAATATAATCAAAATTTTATCGAAAATGATCAAATTAATCTGTTACGAACCTGGCCAGATGATGATCAAATTCATCGTATATTTGATCAATCACGTCAAATAGCATGCAATATTGCCGAATATTTGGGAATGTTAACACTTGACATTGTACCTATTAATTCATTTTGGCCATATGTCTTAATAACTTCTAATGATATGGAAATTTCTGGTTCAAATGATGAAAATATGCAGGATAGTGAGAATTCGAATAAAAATCTATTAAATAGTAGCCTTTCTCAAGTAATTAGTCATGCTGTTAAAGAAGTGGACCTTTTAAGACAGAGAGAAAATGAAAGAAATGAAATGAATATAGATGAAGAAAATAGAAACTCATCTTTAAATGAATGTAGAAAACAACTTTCTTTTATTGATTTAGAAGAAACAGAAAATACAATCAGCACAGGTTGCTATATTTTATTATATATATTAAAACTTGCTTTTTAGAAAAATCTAAATTTTTTTTTTTTAAATTATTTTAAGATTTCGATGATATGATATTTGTTACTAAAAATAGAATTGATTTTCAAGAAATGATTTATCGACGTGAAAAGCATAATGCATATACTTCTCGTAATATTGAACGGACAATCAAGACAAATAATACAAGAATAATCAATTCAACTTCAATTAATCCTAATCAAGCAAATCATATTGTTTCATTTTTTACTAAAAATGAAAATGCTGAAATGCGGTTTATTAAACAACGAGAAAAAAGATGAAAGAATGAACGAAAACTTATAAGTCAATCTATTGCCAATTTTTACGAAAAAGAACAATCAAATAAACGGCAAAAAATTTTATCTAGTAATCGAAATTTAAGTAAGTTTAAATTTCTTTATATTAATATTTATTAAAATTTTAATTTTTTAATTCAATTTTATTTATAGTTAAAAATATAGAATTTGCAAATATTAATCAGGACAATCCTCTTAATGAACAAGATTATGTTATAGCTTATTATGGAATACAACTTTGTATTGGACAAGTAATTTCTAGTTTTTACGAAGCATATAGATATCATTTTTATAATCAGGAACCAATTACAGATATTGAAAATATATCATATTTAACTCTAAAAGTTTTTACTCCTATTCGCAATATTTTTTCAGCTGAGATTGAAGGAGGTCATATTTTAATTACACATCAGTGTCCAAAAAATGTTCTTTATCATTTAGATATGCAGGATATACAGATATTTGACAATACTCTTCAATTATTAGATAAAGCAAAAGCTTGCTACAATTTTTTTAAAAAAGAAGAAATAATTTGTATAATTACACAAAACTGATGTAATTATTAAATATTAAATAAAAATTTGATTTTACATAAACTCAGATCTGAAATTGTATATTTTATAGTAAAATTTAAACTTATATGCCGATTTTGTATAAAGCTTTTAATAAAACTATGTGTATAAAGTTATATTAAAAAATCTGAGTTTAGATCTGAGTTTTATATATAATGTTCGGGGTCCTACTACACTACAAATTGATATTTCTCAGTAATGTAAATTGTCAAATGTTTAAAAATTAATCCCTCTTGTTATAATTGGATTTCCATGATTTTTAAGCGATCAACATACTAAATTTCCGTTGACATAGCGCCCCTGGTGATACAACAATAACAAGGTGGGAATGTAACCATAAAGATGTAGTATGTAATTGATAATTACTACCTTATGTTGTAATAGTAAGGTTTGCAATCTATTACTACTTTTAAAGTTAAAGTGTTGTAATATTACAACACTTATGATTATTCAAAAATTTTCTTTTTGAAAAATAAAAATTACAAAAATAAGTTTTTATAGAATAAATATCATCATAAAAAGAAATAATTATTAATATATTATAATACATATTTGTATAATTAAAAATAATTACAACACTATATAATAATTACAATACTAAAAGTATTATAATACTATATAATAATTATAATATTGTATTGCAATTACAACAAAAGTGTTGTATGTATGTTGTAATAGTTGCAACCTTACAACCTTCTAAAAATAATTACATATCACATCTTTATGTAACCATTCTACTTACCGAAAACCTGTAGACCTAAAAAATGAAAAAAAAATGTTAGTCATGTACTCACATTTCTTTAACAATAAAAAAAAATCAAAGTTTCGTAACGGATGTTGTGAAACTCACCATTTTACCTGAAAACCCGTAGACCTACAAAATAAGAAAAGAAACGTTAGTCAACGTTTCTTAAAAAAAATTATAAAATCAAAGTTTTGCAACGGATATTGCGAAACTCACCATTTTATCTGAAAACCCGTAAACCTACAAAATAAGAAAAGAAACGTTAGTCAACGTTTCTTAAAAAAAAATTATAAAATAGAGTTTCACAACGGTTAAACTTACCATTTTGTCTACCCAAAAATCTGTAGACCTACAAAAATAAGAAAAGAATCGTTAGTAAACGTTTTTTAAAAAAAAATACAAGTTTCGCAATGTCTATTGCGAAACTCACCATTCTACCAAAACGAATGAGAAAGAAACGTTAGTATCATTTCTTTAAAAAAATCAAAGATTTCAAAGTTTTACCTTCAAAATCCCGTTCAGAAAACGTCTAGGAATCCATGAACCTAAAGAAGAAAAAAAAATGAAACGTTAGTCATGTTTCGTTAAAAACAAACAATTAAAAAATTTTGAAGTTAACCTTCAAAATTCTGTTTCATATAAAAGTGTTATACATGATTTGGATTGTTTATTGTCGAATGGTGCACATTCTAATTCTCAAAGCCAATACTCCAATCCTACAAAAATGATAAATGAGACGAAGGAGACGTTAGCAAACGTCTCTTAATAAAAAATTGATTTTAAGTTTCGAAGAGAAAGTGAAACTCTTCGAAACTTACCATATCCAGTTATTCACTATCATATCTAGATCTGAAGCCGAACACCTACAAAAAAAAAATTATAGGAAACATTAGTAACGTTTTCTAAAAAAAACTTAGAAAAATTTTTTTTAAAAAAGTTTCGAGGCGTACCATTTCGTTTTCCAAATCAAATACACTGAGTCCTACAAAAAAAATTATAGGAAACGTTAGTTTCCTAAAAAGAAAATAAAAAATTATTTTTTTAAAAGTTTCAAAGTATAGCGTACACTTCGAAATTTACCGTTTTCAATATTCTGGAACGAAAATGAGCCAAAAGACCTACAAAAAAAAAATAAAGGAAATGTTAGATATGTTTCCTTATAAAAAAAACGAAAAAAATTTTTAAAAGTTTTAAAACGGAGCTTTGAAACTTATCTTTTGCATTTCCCATTTCCCAAATAAAAGGCCTACAAAAAAAGATATAAAGGAAACGTTAAAAATGTTTCCTTATAAAAAAAAATAATAAAATTTTTTTAAAAGTTTTGAAGCGGAATGCTTAAAACTTACCCTTTTATTTCCCCGTTTTCCAAAGAAAGTCCTACAATAAAAAAAATAAAGGAAACGTTAGTGATGTTTCCTAATAAAAAAAAAATTTTTTTAAAAAAAGTAACCTTTAAACAAGCAAATGAAAGATTATTTAGTACTTTTACTAAAAATGTTAAACATAAATAAAATACTTACGGGTATAGCGTCTTGCAAGATTACTAGTTCAGTATTTCTAAGTATCGAAGTGGCTTCGACAGTCCCGTGATACTTCATGCTATTTCGATTATAACCTACAGTGTGGGTGCTGAAAAAGAGATTGTTTGAATGGGCTTTATGAAGATTCACTTTGAGCTGATTGTTATTTTTGATTAAATATTTGATGATTCGCTACATTTGGTAATTAGGAATTTTTAAGATTTTCAGTCTGAAGTGAGCATCGAAAATCAGATGATGGGTCTAATAATAATCATCGTATAACGGCAAATTTAGCATCATTACCACAAACTTATATTTTATTTTAAGTTCATGGAATGCACCAAATATAGGTCATTTTCCAAATCTATCATTTAAAATGTTTGATCTTTCAAAACCTGATATACAATTATGTTCTTATACTATACTTCTTCACAAGCTATTATAATGTGTGTTGCTGCAAAAAATGGTTATGATGGTAACTGGAATGTATTTGAAGGTGGTAAGGCGTCTGCCAGTAATGCAAAAAATTATGCTCCAATTGAAACAACTATCGGTAATATGGATCAATTTTTTGGAATTTAATTTGAAGGAAAGAACTTTATAAAAAAGCTTATTTTGTTAACGTGTTTTAATTAAATATAATCATAAATAAAGTGAATATTTATATTCAGTTCAAGTTAAACAATTACCCAGAAATACGTTTTTTTTCTTTAGTATTAAACGGTAATTGTTGACTGAAGAAAAAAAAAATATTTTTTTTTTCTTGCATACTGTTGAATGGGACGGGAAGACGAAAGGGAAGGGGATAACAAAATGGGAAGGGGAACGAAATGAAAGAAAAGGGAGAAAACGAAGCAAAAAAAAATTAAGCTTTGCCAAAAAAAGCTTATTTTTTTTTGCCATACCGCAATCGCAGCGGTAATTAGTAATCCAATATTACGTGATACATGTGATATAGAGTAAACCAAAATAAATTTTTTTTTAAATATTAATTTTAATATATATATTAGAAAATTGTTATTTATCGCTATAACGACATATCGCCAGTTTATACAGATTATGTGATTTATTGATTTAAACTCGTGATTTACTTTTTTTTAAACTATAATTAGATTATGAAAAAAAGATTATCGTTACTTTTTCTTACGATTGTCTTCTTATTTATCAACAATTTTAAATTTTTATTTATAATAACCAATACATTATTGCTTATTTCACTCCTTTTACTCATAAACAAACTTTTTTTTTACTCTTTTGTATTATTTCTATATGGTAAATATATGATATAGATGAAGAAAGTAGATATGAAAGTGCTAATAATGGTATGTTAATAATAATTATTGTATATGTTCTATGTAAGTACTCGACATTTTTCATGTATGTTATTGATCACTTTATAATAGTGATACACAAATTTTGGTCACTTTATAATTAGTGATATACAAAATTTTGATCACATT